AATTGGGTGGTTCTGAGCATAATGCATTCTAGATTGAGAAAAATGATTGATCCCACGGCCTGTAACACAGCTAACAAGCTCAGCTAATCGGCAGTTGCTTTTGTTTAGAAAACAAAATCATTTACATTAGCAAATACCCCTAAATAATCTATTTAATTATGTAAACACTTTTTTAATAGAAAAAATGCCTTAATTTTACTATTTTTTTTTCAAGAAAAAAGGAGGAAAATTATAATTTATTAAGCTATACTTGGCCTAACATTTGGAGCACGTTTTAGCCAAACTCAATCCAATGGTCCTCTAGGGGGCCAAGCTAAGGTCATTGCAAGAATGCCAAGAAATACTCATTAATATTTTTATTTTTAACCCGAACCTTGGGCTAAGCCGAAGCCCAGCCCATGAACAAATTTACACGAGACTGACATTGAAAGAATAGGACCTAGCATTTGATGGGCCTGAAAATACCCTGGGCCTAAATCAACATTTGTTTAGTTTGGGGTCCTAACTCCTAACCAAGTTTGTATATATAAATCCGAATCATATCTTTGATGCCAAGTTATTGGTTAAGGTGTCGTCAATCTTAGGTGGGACCTAGGTCCCATCTTTATTAACCAGTATTGCGCATATTTATGAAAAATGGGATGAAGGAATTCTGAAATTCAGCCCAGAAGGATTTAAAGAGATTGGATTCTTTAATTCTTTTATTCCTTTGAGAGAATATGAGCCCCAGTCCCCAGATTAGATTCTTTCATTCCTTTGAGAGAAGAAGACCACCCCGAATTTATTCTTGAGACAGGAGGGATGTTGGAGAATTTAGCTGCGGACGAACCTCTGAAAAGCAGGACTCCAAGAATCTATCTAGTTTGAATTCTAAAGGCGATCTCGATTTGACTGAAGAATTTTGAATCCAACTTTTTCTTATTCCATTTCTCTTTTGGCCTACAAAACATGGATTTCAAAGAACTTGTCATCATCAAGTTTGATTTTATAAGAACCAACTTGAAGCAAGAAACCCAGAAAAGAGAAGCTGAAGAGGCCATGTTGATGTGGCAAGTTTCAGGCCAACAGCGTGGCCAAAAGACAGCCTCTATTTCTGTATGCGCAAAAGTCTGGAATTTCAGCAGTTTGGCGTTTCTGGGGAATGCCGCATGATGCATAATAATCGGAAGGGTTGAGGTCGACACGGGAACTAAGAATGTTGTACACATCCCATCACAAGAATCCTTTACCAAGTAGAAAGCTTCCTCAGAAGACTAGAATTGATAGGTAAGAGTAGAAGATAAACCAGCTTGAACAGAGAGGATTCTATTTCTATCAAAGTAGGTCCGGATCAGTTATAACATAAACCAGCTTGAACAAGAAAGAAAAGGCTTTGAATTCTTTCAATGAAGCTCTTTGCTAATTATGTAATTAGGCGTTGTCTCATCAAACAGCATTCCATCCAACATCTGATGAAAGTGTTAGGCATGAATAAATTTAAACAAGTCGGCATCCATCGTCAATTCCAGCTTTGGAATCAAACGGGGTGTGATACACAAGATTCAATATCAGAATTTCAAAGATAATTTGGTCATTCTAATTTGAATTTCAGTTCATGTCTAAATTACCCAGCTTTTAATGATAAAAACAAAGAATATTATTTCATATGAAGCACAACAGTTGTATTTTCTTTTGAATCACTTAATTCAATTGGACCATACCCTTTTCCTATAAAAGGATTTTTTTTAATTCTTTGGTAATAATAAATGCATATTAATTGAGGTATTAAATTTAGAAAAGCAGCTTGTAGAGAGAGAAGCAAACCCATAAAAAGATAGTTTTGTTGAGAGTGGGATTTGAACCCACGCCCTTTCGGACCAGAACCTTAATCTGGCGCCTTAGACCAACTCGGCCATCTCAACTTTGGCGACAGACAATTTCAAAATTCCTATTTGTTTATTATTCACGAGTCACAATGTGATTCTATCGGTTGACATTGACTTTTCGGCTGGCAGCCCAAATGGGGTACTGATAAATAATCATAATTTCCCAATCTTCTATTCGGTCCTCACCGGCTCACCCGCCGCCCCCCCCCCCAGGTCAGAGTCAGAGTCAGAGGTTAGATCACTGCCAAAAGGCCCAAGATCCAAACCCATCTCTTCCTCTTTATATTTTATTACTCTTTTAGTCCAGATTTTTTTTTGAGTATAATTCGTCATCCACCACAAACAAATCCAAACAAATTAACTTCCCAACATGGCCTAGTTCACGTGCACTTCAGAAGTGGTTCTCTTTTGAGACAAATTCACACTCCATAATTGCATGCTCTTTTGCACAAGGATAATAATGCTTCATTGCCTTGGTGCATTGACCTCATTGGGACGAGTAAAGCAAAGCCCCAAAAGACAGAGTGAGAGACTCCTTATGGGACCCCTCTACCCTCCAGGGTCCAGAGATTAGTTGGGAAGAAGAGCATTCAGTATTGGAAATTTGGAAGGGCAGATGTATTGCATTTTAGTGGTGGACGATAAACACCCAACCAAAGCTTGTGAGGTCCATCCCAATTCCCAATTATAGTGCACGTTGTGATGTTCCCATGTCGATCTGGACCAGAAAAAGACATGTTTCATCAACATCAGCCATGGTCCCTAGTAGAAGGAAATTCTGCTTTGGTCCTTTTCTAGGGCTAGTAGCTGGATAAGTGGTGGGCGTGGAAACAATCAAAACCACTAAGCATGGAAGTGGGGGGACTACCATTTCTGATGATTGCTTTTGCCTGCAATAAATGTCTAATGTCTTCATGAATGAATGATGAATGATGAATGATGAATGATGGTGTGTTGCAGAGCTTCATCACCATGTGGTCATGTGATGAATGTGTCCTCATAAGTGATAACATGTTTTCCAATTTGTGGGCCCTTCTGAAATATAGACAACACAAGTTTTCTATATGATGAATATGGGCCTCAACCCCATGACTCGTGTAGTAAAGGATTGTCATACTTTTCAAAGGGACACACGTGTTTCACCAAACTCTCTTCACATATCCCATTTGAACTGCCTTAATTTAAAGTTTCTATAGGAAAATAAGTTTTCTTCTGTGAAGCTTGGAATGTGTTTGGACCATTTCTCCGGAAGAGATTTTAGTTTTTGAAAGTTTTCAACTGTTAGGTGGATACTAATTAAGAAGTGGTGGAAATCTAGAGTCTAGAGGCAGTAGTATTTTCTTATTGACTGCAGAGTTCTCCATACAAAGTGCACTCCACCAATTACAAAGAAAGCAGAGTACTTGTCTCATATCTAAGCCATTTTCTGGAATTTGGATCATCATATATAGTCAGGGCGAAATCATGACTCCCTTTCAGACAGTAGGGCTTGTTCGTTTGCTTTAAAGTCTGACATCTAAAAGTGTAATAATTACATTAATAGTTATATTTGTATTAGAGAGTTTTTCTTTCTTTTAAACTCTGAATGCAAAGAATGTTGTTTTGAATTCTAAACTCTGAAATTTGAAAATGATCAAATATTCATTATGACCCTATATATGAGAGTTTTTGTTTGTCATTTTTGGGGTATCATTGAAAAACAAAATGTTGTAATATTGCATTTTAAGAGATAAGAAATAAGAGGAAACGAACAATAAATTTTGGACATCTTGACCGTCGCTTCGGGTTTTACTTTATTTTACTTAAATTTTATTTTATTTTATTTACACTGTAAAATTTGAAACAAAAATAGGGCTGTAAATAAGTTGATCAGACCCGATTTGAATCAGAATTTGATCCGATAAGAGTTGATTCATATACCTCCCTTGATCTTAATAAATCTGATTGAACTGAAAATTCAATCCATTTAATTAATAGATGGAATTTGAATATACCTTTATCCAATCCTTTAAGATATTTAAAATTGAACCATAATTTTAGAAATCTGACGGATACTTATTAACTTCACATCAATCAGATTTCTTACCAAATCCTTTACTGAATACGATCTGATCTGTTTGCTGCCTTAAACAACGGTGGATCAGAAATTCAGAATTTGCATATTACTCATTTGCACTACAGGCATTTTGCATCAGTGCAAATGAAATTGCAATGCAAACAAATTGCTTTCCAAGTACTACACTATGAAAGGAAGAATCCTAAGTTAAGTTTGCATGCTCTCTGCAAGGTCCAAAATCATTTTAGACTCTATTATTTATTTAGGCTATGTTTGGTTCGAAGGAAAATGTAGGAAAAAGAAAGGAAACACAGGAAAATCTTTACAACCCTTCTCCTTCCTTCTTTTCCCTACCTTTTTCTTCAAATCAAGCACAGCCTTAATCAATTATTTAATTTATATTATATATTTATGGAGTGTTTTGATTTCTTGGGAGTGGATCATATTGTCCTTTGGAGTGTATATGAGTGCAATGAGCCAAGTGTAAAATTCTGGTTCGTTTTTGTTTCGGGTATTACTTTTGTTTGACTGGGATGAGTAAAGTTTGAAACGAAATTAAATAATGTGGAAAATTGGAGGAAGGTTGTTTTTTTAGGGTGTAAAGCAGGAATTGAAATTATGTGATCCCCATTTTATGAGAGAGAGAGAGAGAGATGTAGATGGTGCTAATTTTGCATACGTTTTTTGATGTAATATTTACATTTCTAATGAATATAAATGAGACAAAAAAAACCCTAAATTTTACATCAGGTAGGATTGTAAATCTTAATTACAAACAAATAATACACATCTGAATCAGGGTTTGCCAAGTCCCTAGTGTTATAAATCTTACTTGGGTGATTGGAAAGGAGTTTTGTTTTCGTTGCTTCTTTTATTAGCCCAGGTTTTATTTCATACTTTCATTGTTCAAGAATAAAAAAGGAAAAATCGATGATGCCGAAAAGATATAGTATGGGAAGAGTTTATTAATCAAAATTCACCCATAAATTTTGATAAATAACACGTAATTAATACGATCAATAGTCAAAATCATTTAAATTTTTTAAACAGCCAGTCAAATGCAGCTGCCATAAGTCCATTTTGGGCTAATTGCTTGTAGATGACGACGAAGTCGAGTTTAGAGTTCATCAAAAGGGGTTTCTACTTTCTTCCACCATGCGCTGATGTGCAGGTGAGGCCAGAGAGAGAGAGAGATGAATAGTTGTGATTCAATACTGCTACTCCTCTTCTATTTCACCATTGTATCAAGTGTTCAGATCTTCAACTGCGATCCTGCTGAAACGTGTGATACTCCGGCCGGCTTCAACTGCAGTTCTAATTCAACGTGTCAAGCTCTGGTAGGCTACGCTCCTCCGGTAGAAACTACACTCTCCAGCATCCAAAGCCTCTTTGGAGTATCTCAGTTTGAGTCGTTATTGGGAGCAAACTCGCTCCCACTCTCCACCCCTTTTAACCAACGCGTTACTGCAAAGCAGACAATCAAAATCCCCTTTCCCTGTGCTTGCATCAACGGCTCTGGTATCTCCAACAGGGTCCCCATCTATCCCATAAAAATTGCGGATACCTTCTTTCTCCTCGGCACGAAAATCTATGGTGGGTTAGTGACGTACCAGCAGATCATGGCCTTCAACAGAGGTATCATACCGACCAATATCTCATTAGGGACCACTGTGTGGATTCCACTTCCCTGCAGCTGCGATGACGTGGATGGGATGCAAGTCGTTCATTATGGAAACGTGGTAACTTCGAATAGTTCGATATGGCAGATAGCCCAGGAGTTTGGAACCACACCAGCTACTTTGACGAGACTCAATGGGATCTCCGATCCCGATCATATTTTGGCGGGCCAAGTTCTTGACGTTCCTCTTAGAGGTTGGTTTTGTTTCTTTACCCGTCTCGTCACTCGCGGTTGCTTTTGCTTTGTTTCTTTATCTTTACCAGGATTCCAGAACTTTTGATTCAATGATCACAATACCCTCCTGTTCACACCGTCTTCACACTCACCGCTGTATTAATATATTTCCAATACACTTGGTAAGTGAGTGAATGTGAATACCGTATAAAATACAGTCTTGTGAGATGGCTCCCCACCAAGCGCATCCCCACTGTCCATCCCCTTTGGTGAATAAGGAACATCTTCCCACTACGGAAATGGGAGATATTCCGAATGCATGGGAGAGATGGGCTGTGGTGGGGAGCCCATCGCATCTCATCTCATCTCCGCATGACAGGAATTAATAGGAGATGATGTTACCAATGCATGGGTTGGGGACATGTAGCCGTGAGTCAACACAATATATTTTGTTTTTGACCAAAAGGATAACAGCACAGGGGGACGGGATGGGTTAACTTGTCATGCCCAAAAATACTACCCTAGCTATTTGGCATGATATCATTGACCGGATGGGTTGCTGATGAGCCAATAGTCAAGATGCATGGTCACTTGCTACTCCCTCTAATAATTTTGGAATGACAGGATCAAAATAACCCACGGAGCTGCAAGCTGTCCATGATATGGCCAATGGGCCTAATGTACACCCTAGCTACTCTTCCCCACCCCGATCACCCTTTAAGTGTACAGTGTACTACTACTACTATCTAATTCGAAACATTGTCAAAAAAGTATCAATGCATCCTCAAAAGGAGTGAAATATTGTATATAGAGAAGAGTGTTGGATAGTAACTAGGGTGGCCACGAGCCGAGTTTAGCATGAGTTATTTGAGTTTGGCTTGTAAAAAGCTTAGTTTGAATTAGTCTAAGTCGAGCTTGAACCTAATACATAGGCTCGTTTGCTAATTGAGTCGAGCTCAAGTTCAGTCAAATTCAGCTCATGAGATTTGCGATCCTAATATAATAAATAAATATTTTTTTATTATATATACACATAAACACACACATATATATATATATATATACATATACATATAAATATATATAAAATAAATAATTTTTATTATATATATATATAAAATAATGGTGAGTGAAAGAGTAGCTTTATATTATTTACATTGAAATTATGTATAGCTGTATATGGTTACAACAGTAATTCAAATTTGGAAACTTACAAGGAGATGAGATAAGAAAGGATTGAGAGTCCAAGATAGAGTAGACTTGAGAGAAGATAAGTCTAACAGTACCCAGTGTATGAGATGTCTAACATACATGACCAAGTCTCTGACAAATTATATGTATTGGAATGGAGATTGTATATAGTTCACATGAGAGAAAGTACGTCCCTAAAAGACCACCTTGATGAGTTCAGTAAAGTGTTTTTTTTTTTTTTTAAGAATATAGATGTATAGATTGATGATGAGGATCAAGCTCTTATATTTCTGTACTCCTTACCCCAAATCATTTGAGCACTTCATTGATACAATATTATATGGAAGAAAAGAAACAACACATCTGATGAGGGCAGATTTGGCCCTCCAGTGAAGTTGCGACATGTGGCACCTCGTGACAACTAGGCAAGCCCCCAGGCAACAACTTACCAAGTTGGCCCCCTCGGGCACCGGTCTGGCTGGCCTGGCGCGGCCTGCGCGCGACCTGGCGCGGCCTGCGTGCGA